CTAACCTGGAAAAATAAATATGAAAGTCTATAAAAATATAAAACAGGAGATAAAATTCTCCTTTTTAAATTTAATTGGTGCATTTTAAGTGTATTTATTTAGTGGTTCATATAATTCTGCTTTTATTTCTAATGATGTCAGTGTTGGTCCTCCGTACTGCAGAAGCCTGATAATCTTCACATCAGGTGTGTTGGAGCAGAGGAACCAGTAAAACATGCAGGGCTGCGGCCCCCCAGGACCAGGAGAGACCATGTCTGATCTTGAAGCAACACCATTTAATTCGACCTTAAAGTAAATAAGACAACAACAAATCATTCCTGAAAGGGTCAAAAATACTTGAGCAAACAACCAAATTATTGTGAATGCGTAACAAGGAAACACAGTTCCATAAAAATCCACAGAGAATTTTTTTTCCAATTTGTGTAAATGAAAAATAAACACTGATTCAGGAGCTTTGATTTATTGCCCAATAAACATAAAGAGAAATGAACAGTTTACCGTGAGAAAGTCCGTGAGCTCACTGTTCAACAGCTGCTTCAGTTCACCTTTGTTGAGCTTGTATTTATCACCATCGTTCCCAGAATAGTTGTAGAAAACTGTTATCAGTGCACCCATGGCACCCTCAAGCTGGCTCGGCATCCTGATGGAAGGATAAAAACAGCCACAGGTTCCTGAAATGAAAAAGGAAAAACAAAAAAATATATAAAAGTAATGTTAAGTTAATTTAAAAACCACAATTTAGATAAGAGGAAGACATGTTTTGGTTGTAAAATGGTGCTCTAACCTTGGTAGGATCGTTCAGAAATGTTGCAGCCCAGCTGGTTTGTTAGGAAATGAGGAGAGTCAAAGCAAATCATCTCCTGTCTTTGTGAAGATAATTAATTCCACAGGTGAGGAGCCCCTGGTTACTGGCTTCCTGTTCCAGGTTTTAATCAGTGCTTAAGTGAAAAACAAAACATGCACTGGCGTAAAGAGCCCTCATGGGGATTCATCAGGGTGTGGGTCTGTCTTCACACATGTCCCTGAAGTGACTCCAGTGTCAGTGTAACACTTCATCACACAGACGACAGGTTCAGGCCTGTGGTGTGCTCTGTGTGGACGGTTCATTTCAGATGAACAGCTCCATCAGGAATGACTGACGTCCACACATTCTATAATTAAAATGGTAACTTTCCTCAGCAGACATGCAGATCCATCAATTCCAACGTGTTGTAGTCTCGTTTTAATGTTTACAAATGACAGCTGTGGCCATTTAGTCAAACCTTACAATAAAATTATGCACCATTAAATGGTGTAGTGATATCTTGCAAGATCTGTTGGCATCCAGAGAATCTTAAATGGTGATTGGTGAATTCTTCACCAACAAACTTTAAAGGGGCAATATCAAGTAGTCAACTTTTTTTAGTTTTATATCATGTTATAATGTTATACTCTCATAAAAACATGTCCAAAGCCTTGCTCTGACTCATTCATCATGTTTGAGAAATCCTGCAGTGTTTTTATGAAGCCATGCTGAGGAGCAAAACGACAGGTGGGACCAGAAACACCTTTTGGTACCAGGAACACCTCTTGGGACCAGAAACACCCCTGGGACGTGTCTTTAAGCTGAACTTCCTCATGGCAGAGCACCCCCTCCCCCCCACCTCCCCCATTGAACGGGACGGGACAGAAGCGGAAGGAGGTTCTTAAAGAGACAGAGGCCAATTTCAGTTTAGAAGAGGAAGTGATGAGAAGATAAGTTTATTTTCTATTTAAACATAAAAACAGCATTTTAATAACAACTAAAGGTGACATAGATACTTTATTATGGTATAGTGTTTAAATATATGCCTGAGAAACACATATTATAGGCCCTTTAACCTAATATCTGTCAAACTAAATGAGTTATAGCCATTTTGTGTTTCAGTGGCTGTGGTAGCCATCTTGATTTTGGCCAGTGTTGTATAAAGTACCTCAAAGTGATACTTGAGTAAAAGTACAAGTATCTTACCATAAATTTACTTTGATAAAAGTTGAAGTGTCCTCTAAGAAAATTACTTGAGTAAAAGTCTTAAAGTATCTAATGTATTTTGTACTTAAGTATCAAAAATAAATTTCTGACACAAAATGTACTTAAGTAATAAAGGTAAAAGTACTGAGTATAAATGAGTGGCTAGACTTCCCAAAATGACATTTATTGGGAGTTGAGACCCTCAAAAATGTTTTCCTAAAGGTCAAAATGACTATATTGTCATATAAAAATGTTAATGTTAGAAAAATTAGGATGCACATTACCTGTCACATACAGTATATGTGCTATGTTCTGCTGCAGCGTGACATAATTTGTGTTATTTGCAGCTGTGATGGATTGTGTACAAACTAATACAGGATCACAATAATATATATTTATACTTCTCATCCAAACACAATTAAATTCACTCTGTCCACAACAAGCTATAATGAAATAAGAGTAACAACTTTCTACTTCTTACCTTTTTTTAAAAATAAAATAATAAGAAAGTACAGATAATTGTGTAAAAATGTAAGAAGCAGCAGTAAAAAGTAGGCTGAAAAATAATTACACAAAATTCTACTTAAGTACTGTAAAGAAGTATTTGTACTTAGTTACTTTACAACTCTGATTTGGGCTGTCTTCAAAGGGTAATTAATTGCAATTTTATTTTCTGACAATTTCTTTAACATTTGTCCATTGTTCATGAAATATTTTTTACAATCAACTATATTAGTTAATGGACAGGTCTGTTCCTGTCCATGGGAGGTCATCACTCCATGCAGACACAGATCAGTTTGTTTGTACCCTTGTTACAAAAAGAAAATTTCACTAAAATAATGTAAAACTGACAAAAGTAATAAAAAGAATAAACTACAGTAGATAATAATCAAATTATGAAAACTAGTCATTGGTTTTAAGTGAAGTTTAAAAAGAGCAACCATACAGGCCTTTCTCCATTGAATTTTGGTTCAAAATAATTTATTGAAACAAGCTGATAAAACTCACAAAGACTAAAACGATGTTCACCTGCTTGATGCAGTCGCTGCAAGTGATTTTCAAAGTCTGATCAAACTTTAAGTTTTTCTTGACTTTAACAGTTGAAGAAATTTAGGTACAGAATAAATTTTAAAAAGTCCAGAGAAAAACATTTCAAATATTTTTTCCTTGTGAAACAATGTGAGCAGAACAAATTGTGAT